TGAGGCCTGGGCTGGGCTGAGCAGACAGCTCTGCTGCAGAGGCTACAGCCTACCCAGTTGCAGCACGCCGTGACCAGCACTGTAGCTAAGTGCAGGGCGCCGTGGGGTGACAGGAGCGGCACTCAACCAGCCTCCTTCACTGTCAAACGGGACTACTGCTATCACTCGCAGTGACTAGAAGGCCACACGGCAGTGAGGTCTTGCGGGGGCACCATCAATGAACTCCAGCTTGAGTTTTACTTCGCTTCACCTCAGCTGCCCTTGGGGCTGGCTGGACTGGCAGGAGGGCTTTGTGGGTACAATCTGGGGAAGTCCACAGACAGACTTACTCTTTGGGGGGATTCAGGTCCTCAGGTCTTGTCTCGAAGAACTGCAGCACCTCATCGCACTGAGAGATATAGGGGGGCAGCTGGATCAGGGCCTGGAGGAGAGAGACACGGGTGAGCCTTTGGGACAGGAAGGCCGTCAGGAATTGCACCCATATTCTCACACTCAGGCGGGCAGCAAGTCAACAGACCTGTTAAAACAGAGACTGTGGGGGCCAGAGGTGGCTAGCAGGTGGTTAAGGCGCTGGATCCCACAGGGCGGACTTTGTGGTTTGAGTCCCAGATCCAGCTGCTTGGAACACACACCAAGCACGCGTGTGTGCACCCCCCAAATCCTGAGGAAAATGGAGGAGAAGGGATTTGGTCTGGCCACCCCCGCTGGGGGGTGATCTCTCACTTCCCCTCTCTTTGTTTCCCTGCAGCAGGAGTATATACCCTATGGCAAAAAAACTAAAAACGAAACAGACCAGGGGCTCAGTCCTGGAATTCTGGATTCAGTAGGTCTGGGTTGGGCCTGAGAATTTGCCTTTTCCCCTCTTTTATTTAAAAATTTTATTATTATTTTAAAAATTTGCTATGTGACATGTGTGCTTACGAGAGAGAGAGAGAGAGAGAGAGAGAAAGAGGGAAAGCAAGACACCAAAGTCTGGAACTGGAACCACAGTTGGCCAAGTGGAAGTCCAGAGCCTTAACCATCATGCCACCTGCTGGCCCCGAGACTACACATTTCTTTTTTTTTTTTTTTTTAAGAAAGATTTTTGCTATGTGGCAGATGCACTCACCAGAGACAGAAAGCAAGAAATCACCCTCCCTACCCCCAGGGAGGATGGCTATGACGCAATCCCTTTTCCTCCAGGGATCCTGGGCACGCATGCGCACATGTGCACCCAGTGAGAATTTCAGGTACAGGATTCAAACTGTGGTTGGCCATGTGGGAGTCCAGTGATATAACCATTACACCATTTGCTGGCCCCGAGAATCTTCGTTTCTTCTTTATTTTTTCTTTTAGAGAGATTTCTGCTATAGGGTGCATGTGCTGGCCAGAGAGAGAGAGAGACAAAGAGACAGAAAGTGGGAAATCCCCCCCCAAGAGGGATGGCCATGCAGCGATCCCTTTCGCATCCATGCTCCTCTTGGAACCCAGTGACATCTGTTGGTCCTGAGGATGTGCACTTCTAACAAGGTCCCTCCCTGGTGATGCGCTGCTGGTGGTTTGGAGCACGTGTGGTTGTGTACGCATGCACACACAGAGGCAGTGCATTCCAGGAGACTTCAAAAAGTTCATAGAAAAAGAAAATTAAAATATAAAACTATAAATTGTAATTCTCAACCTAAGCTTCATCAATTCAAAACAAAAGTCAGTGTAGTCAATTTACATTATGAACGGAAGAAAATGGGTGCCCTTTACAGACTCCTTAAGATTAGGAAACAAAAACAACACAGGAGTGCAAGGTGGTGCCCATGAAAACGCTCCCAGAATTGCCCATTGGATGAGGCCAAGCAGGAGCACTACCTCGGGGAGAGGGCCTCTGCGGTGCAGCCTCCTGGGCATTCGCAGCTAAATCTTCAGCTTCCTCCAGACACGCATAACAAGCTGACGTGGGCCCTCCTAGGCCCTGCAGAAAATCCACATGCAAAATGCCTCGAGCATCCCCTCCACCCATGCAGACTTTTGCTCTGGACCAGTCTGCTCCTGCCTTGCCCGGACCACTCCACCTCCTGGCAGCCACTGGTTTGACTGCGCTTTGCTGTCAGGATCCTGCTGGTAAAACCGTGTGTCTTCTCCTGTCACAATTCTTTGAAGAAATGTGCCAGGATCTTGACCCGACTGGTGTAAAATTTCCATTGGAAGCTCTGCTCATGTCTGCAGCTTATCTGGGTGCAAGAGTTTGGGCACCCACTGAGCAAAGTCTGACCAACCTACATTTTTCAGTCAAAACTGTGTAAGCTGCACCATTCGGATGGCAGGGGTGCTGGCTACTGGTGCTGTTCATCATAGGTTCTCTTCAGTTAGGGCAAGGGCAAGAGAACTCTCCTTGCAAAATGCAGACGGTCTGGAATTCGGGCATCACATCCCACATATTCCACCTCGCCTGGTCCCTTCTTAAAACAACTCACTCATTTGCAAATGGCTGATCTCCTTGGGGCACTGTCCTCAGAAACCTTCCTTTCACCTTGGTTTGCTGTCACTGTGACCTTGATGCCTGCCCACTCACACTGCTCTGCTGAGGGCCCTCTTCTAACCGGTGCCTTACCCTTCTCAGCCCCAGATTCGATCCCCTCCAGATGCACTATAGCAAGTTAGTACGAATTTATTTTGGGGCAAAAAAAAAAAAAAAAAAAAAGAAATCCATACATGGTTTTTCATAATATAAATTTTCCATGACCATTTTGTTCTTCTCTTTATTTTTTGGGGGGAAAGGTTTTTGCTATAGGGCACATGCCAAAAAGAAAGTGAGAAATCACCCACTGGGAGGATGGCCACGCCGCAATCCCTTCTCCTCCATTCTCCTCTCAGGATCTTGGGCACGTACGCACTCGCGCCTAGTGTGAGTTTAAGCCACCGGGTCCGGGACACGAACCGCGTTCAACTACACGGGACTCCAGCGACATAGCCGTTAACGCTAACTGCTGGTCCCATTTCCATTACCATTTTGAAGAACCCTCTCATGTGTGCATGAATGGAATAGGCATATCTGGACAAATACTATGTAAATTTTACACAAAATCAGATCATACTATATATGGTATTTGGTAAATTATGCTTCATTTATCAATAAATCGTGAATTGCATGCTACTTTGTTATTTCTTTCCTTTTTAAAAAAATTTATTCTTCTTAAATTTGACCAGAGACAGACAGAGAAAGACAAAAGGAGATTCAGAAAGCAAGTCACTAGGCCTGGGACTCGAACCACAGTCAACCATGTGGGAAACCAGTGCCTTAACCATCACACCACCTGATGGTCCCCCTTTCCTTTTTAACTGGCAGAGAGTGCAGTCACTAAAGACAGCCAGAGACAGAGAGTGGGAGAAAGCACCCCCATGGGTGTGGTCAAGCCACAACTCCTTGTCTATCCTGTAGGGATTTGGGGCATACACACAACATATGCCCAAGAGTGTTTTTCAAGCTACTGGGCTGGGATCTGAACTGTGGCCAGAATGCAGGATCTGGCTCCCATAACACTATGTTATGGGATGGCCCCATTTCATTATTTTTCTTTATGTATTTCTTTTTTTAGAATTAATTTTTAATTTTATTATTATTGTTAATTAGCTATAGGTATGAATGCTCCCCAGAAAGAGAGAGAGAGAGAGAGAAAGAGAGAAAAAGAGAGAGAGAGGAAGTAAGCTGCCAGGTCTGGGACTTGAACTGTGGTTGGGATGTGTGTGGTTGGACTCCCATGTGGGAGTCCAGTGCCTTAACCACCGTGCACCTGCTGATCCTCATTATTTTTCTATAATGTCATCCACATTGAATGTTGGGTGTTTCTCATATAGATGCATTATACTTCATTCAACTATATGCTGCTGACTGGTTAACATTTAGGCTGTTTCTTTCTTTCTTTCTTTCTTTTTTTTTTTTTGAGAGATTTTTCACTATAGGGCACGTGCGCTCGCCAGACAGAGAGAGAGACAGAGAGACAGAAAGCAAGAAATCACCCCCCAGGGGGGATGGTCACGCCGCAATCCCTTCTCCTCCATTCTCCTCTTGGGATCTTGGGCACGCACGCACACGTACCCGGCGTGAGTTTTAAGTTACCGGGTTTGGGATGCGAACCGCGGTCGACTACGTGGGAGTCCAGCGACATAGCCATTACACTAACTGCTGGCTCCCACATTTAGGCTGCTTCTAACACGCTGTCATGTATGTCTTAACACAAGAAGCCAAAGGGTTAAAGTGGGGGCCAGCAGGTGGTGTAGTGGTTAAGGTGCTGGGCTCCCACATGGCCGACCATGGTTTAAGTTCTGGATCCAGCGGTTTGAAAATCATGCCAGGCACATATGAGGGTGTGCCCAAAATCCCGAGAGGAGAATGGAAGAGAAGGGACTATGGTGTGGCCATCCCCCTCAGGGGTGGTTCCTCACTTTCCCTTTGTCTCAGGTGAGCGCACGCACCCTAAAGCAAAACCTAAAAACAAAAACACACAAGGGTTAAACCAGGGAAAGGAGGTTATCACTTGGATACAGCTACTAGACTCAGGCTGACGGGGGACTGAAGCCCTGGATCTCCCACTGGCCAGCTCCACGTGAACTCGCTCCACTGCTCACGAGCTGGGGCCTCAGAGCCTCCGCTGTGTGCTAACGGGCTACGTGAGGAGGCAGGTGGGGGCACAGGCAGGACCAGGCATTTGTTGTACCAGTTCACCTTCCAACAAGCACTCCTCGGTGACTTGATGGCATGTTCTTTGTGCCCTGCACTGTGTCGGCTTCTGTGCCACACACAAGATCAGTACAGGATGCGCCCTGCCCATTAAAGGGCTCGCGACCAAGACAGGCTCCCTAATGAACGGACGGCTTAGTTAACCAGCGTTTACTTAAGCCCACTCTGGCCCAAGTCCTGCCCGGGTGGTGGGCATGCACATCTGAGTGCTCAAGTGGCCACATGCACACTTCAGTGTGAACACCTGTGACAGGCATGCCTCTCCACAGCCAGCGGACTGTGACCGCATGGCGCACGCCCCACAGTGAGGCAGGGCTGCCTTCTCCAGGAAGGCCCCGGCGCGCATGCACCTCTCAAGTGCCTTCTCGCCACGCTGTGCCTGAGTCTGAGGTCTGGAGTGGAGGAGACCGTCTGGTATTTTCTACACAGCCAGCCCTTAAAAGCTCACCACCCCAACCCAAAGTGACGTGCAACCGTGCTGTGCTGCAGCTGGCGCAAACGGGCCAGTGAAGAGAGGGATGCAGGTCTCCCATGTGGCATCTTCCACAAGGTTTCAGGGTATTTTGACCCTAGATGATTATCACCCACCCCCATCAAGATTTTTTATAATTACAGTAAAATAAACATAATAGGAAATTTACCACCTTAACTGTTTTCTATTTTTTTTAAAGAATTATGTAATTTTATTTACTTACTATTAGTTTTCAATTCGA